TTTTGCTAATTGCTCGGTTGATATCTTTAAAGGATTTAATAATTCCTCTCGCAAAATTTCCCCAGGGTGGATAGGCTTTAATTCTAAGTCTTTTTCTCTTTTTTGATTATTTACCATAACTTTTATCGTGTTTGTTGATTAATACATTGTAAGCACTATTATCTATTCAATCGAAAATAATGCGATATTGGTCGTTAATTCTAATGCTGTAAGTTCTTTCGGTGCCTTTTAACTTTTCTAAACGATTATTTGGTAATTGACTTAATTCTCTTAAATCTTTGGCTTCGTCCAGCAAAATAAGTTTGCGTAAGGCTACTTTCTTAATGTTCTGATAAGGAGGAGATTTTAATTTCTTAAATAGTGCTTCGGCTTCTTGGTCTTTAAAGGTGATTATCATTAGTTAAAGAGAGTTAAAACACTTCTTTTCGCATTCAGGTTTTCCGTTTTTTCTAAATAAGCGTTCAATTGTTTTAAAAACGTAATTACTTCTTTGGGGTTTGCTTTTTCTAATAATTCATTTTTAGCTGTCTTATCTAATCTTGTTTGCTCTCCACTAGCAACAATACGATTATTTTTTGTATCAAGCAAAACATACTGTCCGGCTTTTCTTTTTGTTAAAAATTCCAGTTTTAATAGTTGATAACGCAAAGTTTCACGCTCACTGTCGGTAATATTTTTAGCTTTCATAATAACACTTCGTCGTCTATAAGTATAAAAAATTAAATTAAGATATTCCCCTGCTGAAAATAACTCAAACACAATATAGTAATTTTTAGTAAGAAGTATTTTAACTGATGGTAAAAAAAGTTGAAGCCGGTGTAAAAACCGGGGAGCACGATACCGAAAGAATAACCCGTAAAACAAAATCCTTTTTAAAAGGTTGAATAAAATGAGTAGGGCGTGGCACAGACAATCCTGGGCTAGACTAATCCCATACCTGGAATTGATTTGATAGGGTTCGCATATGCGTTCTCTATCAATTCCAGGGCGGGTTCTGTCTACTCCTCCCGCGATTGATTATCTTTGATTACCTAATATTAACTACTATATAGACCCCAGAGGGGGCTTTTTTTATAAAATAAGGAATTTCTTTAAAGATATCTAGGTTCAACAGGTTTTTACTATAAAAAATTAGTTAAAAATCTATGGAGATAAAGAAACTATGACAAACCAACATATTCACCATTATCATACAACCATTGCTTCAATCTGAAAAGAGGAGAAATTTAGGCGACTTTCAGATATAAACTAAAAACTTTAAAAAACCAGAGGCTAAACTGGTTAAAATTAGTGAAAAAGACATAAAAATACAAAGAATTTATAAATAATATGCCAAAATTAAATCCATATTTAATACCAAAAGAAAATAAAGTGCAAGTAGAAGAAGTTAGAGAAATAGAAAATGAATATCCTAGTTTTGAGGAGTTTATGAAAACTTATGAAAATGATGAGAAAACAAATGATAATTATGAATTAGAAGTAGATAGTTATGGTGATATTAGAGAGCCAAAGAAATCTGGACCGATGTTTAATCTTCTTCAAGTGTTTCAATCGCTTCAACAAGTATTAGAGTATGCGCCACGTTTGGAACATACTACACGACACTTGCCAGATATTACACAAGCAGCAATGGAAACCGGAAGATTTATGGCGGAGCATTCTAACGAATTAGTTCATGTTGGTCGTGCTATTGGTGAATATGCTTCTTCAAGTTCTTCCTCAGCACTTACAACAACCTCTTCTTATGTTTCTGGTTATAGAACTCTTTGAGATTGGTGGGCTAATGGAATTACTGGTGATGAAAGACAAATGCTAATGTCTTTGGGAATTGAGGATACAGGAAGAACTTACTCTCTTGGTGAATTGAAAGAGATATTAGGAAGATGATGAGAAAGGGAGGATTTGGGGTTTTCTAGTTGAGCACGGGAGGAATGACCTAACACTTTCGCTGAAAAAAAAACTTACAGTCAGTTTTTAGAGTTCAAAAGACTTTATTGAGAAGATTATGTGTCTCGTGAAAAAAGTTTATTGCCTGAGGAGTCAAAAAGTCTTATAAGAGCATGGATAGAAGATCATCCTTGAAGTAGAATTAAAGAAAATAGAGTGACTAATCCACCAAAAACGGAAAGTCCTGTGTGGAAAGGATTGAAGTATCATAGTAGCGATAAATATGGGAATGCGGTGAGAACTAATGGAAAAACAGGTAAAGATTTAAGATATTTTCAGTGAGATTATACTCACAATGATATTGAGGTATTTGACAGAAACTTTAAGCATTTAGGTTCAATGGATCCAATGACAGGAGAAATGTATAAGGGACCAAAAGGTCATGAGTTGAGGTTGTAAAGGTATGGCGACAAGATGCATTAGCGAACGAATTAATGTTAAGCGTAGTGAATTATATAAAGATTATGATGAGTATGTTAGCATAATAAGATATCTCGACCTTGACCGTAGAGACTTTTGCTGCGATGAATTACATAATAATTTGCTAGGCGAAAGGGATGGTAGGTGCGAATTATGATTTGATTATGACCCAATAATGCGAAGTTATGCTCTTGTCGTTAGACCTGAATATGGAGGATCTGTATGTTTGATAAATTATTGTCCCTGATGTGGAAAAAAATTCCCTAAGGAACTTCTGAATGAATTTATTGAAACATTAAAAAAGGAACTTAACATAAAAGATTCTGATGTTGGTCTTGGTGAGTTAAAAACAAGAGCAGATATTCCCCAAGAGTTCAAAAGTGATGAATGGTGAAAAAAAAGAGACCTCTAATTCAATGCCTCGTTGATAACGAATTTGCTTTTAAAGTAAAAACAATATATGCCAGCCCTCTAAGTCTCCTTTTGGCTGACGTTTTCTTATTAATGATAACCAATCTGGGACTTCAATGCATTCGGTATCGCACTCCTCTCAGTTGGTTATCATGAGTAATTAAACATCCCCCCTCCTCCATTCACTTCCAAGAAAAGCAAACTAAACATACCCCTCCTCACATACTCCATTTCACTTATTTTTGGCAAATAAGCAAAATATAATATCTTACTCGTATCCTCGTTTAAGATACTTCCTCCAAGTCTTTTTCTTCCCACTATTCATCCTCTGATAAAACTCTTTCCCAATACACTTCAAGCACAGTATCTTATAACTACTACTTATCCCTCAAAACCCAGGATTATTCCTGTTCTTAATTAACCACCCCATGTTTCCCTGCTCCTTTTAGTTCTTTAAAGCATAAATAACAATTAGCCCAATCATAAGCCCTATTTGGCTTAACTGGCTCTTCGGTTCTCTTGGTTCTTTTCCTAGTTAGTTCGCAACCTAAGATATTCAAGGCTACTTTCAAGCATAATCCAGGACATAACACATGCTCCCTCTCACATTTCCTACAAAACCATTTCCCCCAAGCTTCCCAGCCCAGGTTTAAGATATTCACATGCTGGTAGTCGCAAATCTCTAAGTCCAATGTCTTAATGTCTTTGATTTTTTGATATTCCTCTCGGGTTAGTTTTGTCATAACTTTTAAAAAAGTAGCAAAAAAATAGCCAACTCTTTGAGTTGCCTAATTGGTTCATTTTTTCCTTTGTGATTTCCATGATTTCTTAACCTTCTTTTTATGCCTTTTTCTCTATACTTTTAATTAATTTTTTACTCAATAACTTACTTTTACTTATAAATTATAACAATATAGTATTTTTAAACAAAAAAACAAGCATTTTCCCCCTATTGTCTCCCTAGCAAAAGTTTTCTTCCAATTTAGGAAATTTGGAAGGTGAAAATGGGTAAAAAGGGGGGTTTTTGAGAGGATTTGAATGTTTTAGATCTTAATTTTTGGTTTTTACTCTTCAAGAGTAAGAGCAGTTTTCTAAACCCTTTTTCTTCCTCGCAAAGAAGCCTTAATTTGCTGATAAGGCAACACCTGATTTCTCACTGCTTCCTCCGCCTCTTTATCTTTTCAGCAATCTAGTTCATAACGCTTCTGTAAACTCAATCAATAATCCTCGCGTAAATCAAAAAATAGTCCTAGTCGGTAAGAGATATCAGGGGTGATATCCTGCCTTTCGGCTAAGATTTCTTTAATTATCCGTTCCTTTATCTGAGTGCTTTTTGCTAATTGCTCGGTTGATATCTTTAAAGGATTTAATAATTCCTCTCGCAAAATTTCCCCAGGGTGGATAGGCT